TATCAGCACTGCGCTATACTTCTTCAAGGCACCCAATTCTTTTAGATTCATTTTCTGATTGTCAACATTCATCACGTAATGTTGATGCAGTGTCATAAAATAATGCTTGATTTCTGTCAATTTCATTTTTCCAATGATGTGTTTTCCCATTGAACAGCTCCATCTTGACAACAATTGTGGAAGGTTCATATCCATTGTTACTGAAAATCGTTCATTTCTTATAGCAGGAGGATTACTTCTAAACCTTGTATATAGCCAAGGTCGTTTTTCAACATCACATCACTCTGTATTCTGAGCACAACACAACACATACAACTCTTGTAAATGTCAACTGTGTTAGTCATCTATGTGTCATCTTAATTTTCATCTGCATCTTCATCTCCTTTTGAATATTTTGAAAGCCAAGATAATTTTAATGAAATTTTCTGCAGTAGAATAAACTAGACATTTTGTGATGGTTATTTCAGTTTAAGATTACATATTCAATATACAGCCTCTTGGGAATGTCTGTTGATAGTATACAGTTCCCAACTGTTTTAGTGCTTTCTTGCTTTCTTTGCATCAACAGTATGAACTTCCATGTCAGCGTGTTCATCATCAGCTACCTCAATTCCACTCCTGAATTGTCATTTAAATCATCCCCATCATTAACTCTACAAAAGAATGATTCTGAAGGTCTTGGAAAATAGAAACTGCAAATCGTGCTTTTCTTCTTGCAAGATGTTGGAAGCATTGTGTTCTGTTTATAGACATTGTTTACAATCTCATGCAGTTCTTAATTCTCATTGAGAAAGATGATCTTACAAGTGGAAAAAATAATCATAGCCTGCGATTTGCAAATGACAGCCACAGCACACAGTGATCAAAATTATTTTATTTTGTGCATGAACAGGTTTGGCATTATGTACAACAGGCAAAATATCATATAAATTAGTTTACAACTACTTCCTGAGTAATTAACAAATGATGGCAAAACCATGTTACTAACTATACAAAAGTGGTAAAATAGCACTTCTTGATTTATTCAAATTCAATTTGGCTGCCAAACCAGTTGATTGATTTAGAAAGTCGGGTGCATCATTTCACATTTGTTCCATTTAGCATAAAAAGTTTGAAAAGATTCCATTCATTGGTTCTCTCAAACTAGCTCACAAAAAACTGCAAAAAAAGAGGAAGAGAAAGAAAATCAGAAATATATTATGGGCCCAGGCAGTGTAAGATCTAAGCCAATAAGCAAAATGATGCAAAATAATATTCTGTGATGCATATAGTTGCATTGATTCGCTGGCACATCATTGGCATCACAGAAAATCGTACATTGACATAGTGTTCTTGAAGAACATCTTACTATGGTTATAACATTTGTGAAATAGAATTCGAATTATAACTCAGAATTATTATAGTTTTTTTTCAAAGATTGACCTCCAATGCAGTAAAATAAAACTGACTCGCTTGATTGTGGGCGACTGTACTTTGACTCGGAATCCCCTATTAGACTTTACTTTTCTAAACAAAGCAGGCCAATTATACTAAGTCGAATAAATAATGGCTAGTGAAGACATTTGGTGTCTAGGACAAAAATAATGCTCCAATCTGGTGTCCCCCTAGGGAATCTAAGTCAATTAATGTTTAGAGTGAAAACAGAACATTTTGTGGGCTGTTCCCAAGGTCAACGCTAATTAAAACACAAACTCCAGGCTAGCTCTGTATGTTTTGATTCAACAGTGGGTATTGTCAGCCTGTCTGTTGCATATGTGCAGGGATCCAGAAAGCACAATACATACCTCTTGAGCTTAAGCTTAAAGTTTCTAGCTGAGGCGAACAAATCGATCAACGTCATTCACCAACGAGCAAACAGGTAATCTGTCTCCTGGATATTGCATTGGCTATACTGTTCCTCACCTCGTGACTTCCAGTTCTTCTACCTCTTCATTTGTACCAGAGCACCATCTCATTCTTCAGCTAGATTAGCATGAGGCATTTTGTTCCACCCTGCTCTGTGACGTAAGCCATAGCATTTGGATAGTTGCAACTTACATACAACTTTCTGGTTCCTTTCCTCATCCAGAAAGTGTATGTGCATCCTCTCAAAGGTCAACATATTCAGTACGTTTATATGGGACTTTGCTTTTTGTGGAGGGAAACTCGCCCCTATCACGACAGTCCATGAGATCAGGTCACCATTCAACTTATGAGGCTTCCATGACCAGTGTTATAGTTGGAGTTGATCTGCACTGAGGTATAACCACCACATGCGAGTTCATACTATCTGCAGCCCACATCACAGGTACTAAGTACTAATAGCGGTATTGGGCAGTTAGATCATTGGGTTTAATTCAAAATTGGATAGTAAGTATAACTGAACTAGTAAAATACTGTACAAGGAATAAATATGAATGATACTAACCATTGCAAAATCAATCAAGAACCTTGTTTCAAGACTGTTTAGCAATATTTGTAACCAAGTAAATCATGTTCTTTTCAAGTGTAGATTTTAAATGCAAGTAAAATTTATAGACGATTAATTATTCATACCATAAATAGTTTAAATTCATGATGAATACATTCTTAAACCGTAACAACTTTTGTACAAGATTGAACTTTTATTTAATAAAACAATTGGGCCCGAAACACAGGGTTTTTATGTAGACATGAGCTTGTTTCACTGGCATTTATAAATATTCATAAAACATTTATCCAGAAAAATCCTCCAATGCATTCAAATCCAAGTTAATTATTTATTGTCTAGATACCATTTTGTAATGTATTGGCGATCCGCTCCGCTAGGATTGCCCTTATAATCACTTTTGTCGTTTTGTGTGTGTGTCTGTGTGTGTACATTTCCAGTGTTTTCACGTATGATTTCTTCTGTGATTTTTTTGGCTTGGCCGATTTCGTTCAAACTTAGCAGGTAGGTCACACCTTCACCCTAGTTATTAGGAAAAATCTGCAAACAATTTTGGCCCACCGTTGCCATAGCAACAGCCAAAAAACTGATTTTTGGATAGCTTTGCGCCAAATGTATCTCATCCTACAAATTTGGGATAAAACA